AAGATCTGATTGTTGATGTGAAATTGTAAGATTTGAATTAAAGGTTGGATCCAGTGCTACGTGTAATTATGGACACTATTATGTACAAAATTATGTACGTGTAGCACTTCCCACAAATTATAGCCTTTTTGCCATTGTATATTAGAGGACTCCAACAATTTCCAAGTCAATAATCTTGTTTTTATTTTCATCACTTTAATTGTACTATGGAATATCTCTATTTGATTTTGTAAGCTTTATATAGAGCAATGTGGGACAATAATAAGCTATCAATTTTTTTATTGTCGTCCTTTTTAGGGTGATCTTTTAGCTTACGAGAAATTTCCCAGAAATTTCATTCTACCAATTTTTTTGTTATTTTACTTTATAATGTTATTCATATTCAGCGATTACAGTAGTTGCCACATATCATGACTATTTGTTGACTATGAATAACATTGTGCATGTAACATGTTTTTATGAAAATATAAATTCAGTCCTTATTTGTTGGGGGATTAAAATCAAAATTTTAATAGATTTTGATAAAAGTTGATGAAACATGTGGTTCTAAAGTTGCGATACCCATAAAATATATAGTTAAAATAAATTGTTGACTTTTACTTAAATTTAAATTTTAATCGGTACAGAACATGGCTCAATCTACACATAAAGGACGAATTAAGATGTGTAGTTAGAACACAAAGTAAAACTAAGGTTCTATCTAATTCTCAATTTTTGGGATAATAGATNTAGTTAGAACACAAAGTAAAACTAAGTTTATGTCTGATGCTCAATTTTTGGGATAATAGATTTTGTAATAGTGATTTTTTTGGAGAATACGTGATTAAAATTATGGAAGGATTTTTAGTTTACGTGTAAAATTATTTTATTGAGAGAGAATATGTGATTGAAAATGAGTTTGAGGGAGAATGAATTTTAAGAGAACGAGGTTCGAACATGAGCTAAAGCACTACTTCTAATTGCCATATTCTTGAATTGTTCAACTTAATGAAAATTATTAGAAGTGTAGGTCTATTGATAGCAATAGAAGAGTTAGATAATATGTGACAAAATAAAGACTACAACACACATGTGACGATGAAGCTTATTCAATGATTATGATAAGTCGGATAAGCCGTAAGAAGACTCAAAAATCGACTCCAACAATAAGCCTCGGATCACTCGTTCGAGTTCAAATATATCCTATTTTATTGTTTCCTTCTCTCCATCTTCTATCCTCAACGAGTTTTGTACCTATACAGGATAAACACATTGGGGGGTGGGTGGGTAGAAAAATCAATTTTTTATTCATATGGGGCCCACCCCCATGTGAGTAAAATTCAAAATTCTGTTGGAAAATCTGTAGAAATTTTATGTACTCGGAGCATTTTTAATCCTCAACACCCCTCTCTTCCACTCAACTCTCGACCATCTTCTATTTTGGCAAAGATAAATTATTATTATTATTATTATTATTATTATTATTATTATTATTTTTTAAAGTTTATGATGCACAAATTTCAAAATGTATGAGAATTTAATAAGTTGTTGTCTATAAAAACTTGGACCCTAAAAATTTATAAAATTAGGACATTTTTTTGTGTAAAATGTATTTTAAAATAGTAAATTGAAAGTGAATGTATGGTTAAAAATGAAGGAAAAGTTTTTGGGTTGTGTGTAATATTATTTTATTGTGCGGTTAAAAAGAAAAAAGAGAGAAAATGTATTTTGAAAATATGAGGCTCAAACAAGGTATATTCAAGAAATATTATTATTTTCTTGTAATTTAAAATCAAAGTCAAATTAATTTTAATCACATATTCATAACTACTGTCCACTTATTGTGTATACATTTTGTCGAACATTAACTCTCTTCATTATAATTTCTTCAAAATAGATACTAAGTAATAAAAGTAAAATAAAATAAAATATAGGGAAAATTGCAACCACGGTATCAAATATTTCATTTTGTTGCAGACTTTGTCCAAAACTTTTGTTTGTACCACCGTGGTACCAAACCTTTCCAAAATATGCACTTAGAGTCCAAATGGATGGAAACCGTTGATTTAACCATTAGTTGACTATAGAATTAGAGTCTTATTTTGATCAATTTTTAAAAGGGTAATGGTAAATTTAGATTTTTTGCAAAAAAAAGAGAAAGAAACACAATTATATTAACTTATAAATCAAAAATAAAGAAACAAATACAGAAAATAAAAACGAAAATGCTGAATGTCCCGGCTCAATGACCGGGACATGTGACAGGGCGCCGAGGTGGCGCCCTGTTATTGGAGGGGGGCTGACTTCGGTCAGCTCCCCCTCCAATTGTATGGTGCCACCCCGGGCCATGTAGCATCACTCAAATAAAAACTACCCCAAAATTATCGCCACCTAATGACGCCTCCACCATCACTACCACCTTCTCCACGACGTCGACACCACAGTCGCCTCTAAGGCGGCACCACCGAAATTTCCCCATCCACACCAACAAATTAACCATTTTAGCTGCATCACTCATATTTCTATCCTTAAAACCAAACCCAAAACATCATGGGCTGGAACTGTATATTGTATTTTTTATCTCCGTCGCCTGCAACTTATTACCTTTCCACCGTCGAAACCACACACCCTCCCATATCTTAGTTCTCTAGCTCGTTCATCACGCCATTCCATTCACCACTAACGCAACCACCTACTGAACACTAACACCACCACTATTACAGCAAGAACCCGCTAACACCACATGTTTAATCACTGCTTCCAGTTGAAACCAATAACACCAGCATATACTGAACCACCACAACAAGATCCCACAACTAATTCACTAGAAATCAACAGAAAAAGACTCATAAAGATATTAACACAAATCAACTAATTCATACACATGCTTCATTTGTCTTGCCGGTCACAAACACAATACAATCCACCACTATTTTGTTTGTTGTTCAATGTGGCTGGTGTTACTATTGATGATTTGGGTCTCCATTGAAAACTTATGGGATGTGATCGATTATGTTGCTGAGAGATGAATTGATCTAGATCTAGGATGCCATCCATTATGAGGTTGAGAGAGAATATGATGTCTCCATTGGCATGATCGGTGGTGATTGGTGTGTGGTGGCATCGACGTTGGGTGGTTGGCGATTTTCAGGTAAAGGGTTTAGGGAAGAAGGAGATGGTGGTGGACCGGTGGTGGTATTTGTCTTTTTTTATTTAGTAATTAGTGGTTTATGTTTTAAAAATGTGATATTTTATCCTTTTAAATCTTGTCAAATTATGGTCAATATAAATTCTTTGGTCAACTAACGGTTAACCAATGGTTTCCATTCATTTGGACTCAAAATGCGAATTTTTGAAAGATTTTGTATTCATGGTGGTACAAATAAAAGGTTCGAACAAAGTTTGCAATTGAATAAAAAATTTGGTACTGTGGCTACAATTTTCCATAAAATATATGACATCAACAAATTATAACCTTTTTGCCATTGTATATTAGAGGACTCCAACAATTTCCAAGTCAATAATCTTGTTTTTATTTTCATCACTTTAATTGTACTATGGAATATCACTATTTGATTTTGTAAGCTTTATATAGAGCAATGTGGGACAATATAAGCTATCAGTTTTTTTGTTGTCGTCCTTTTTAGGGTGATCTATTGGCTTACGAGAAATTTCCTAGAAATTTCATTCTACCAATTTTTTTGTTATTTTACTTTATAATGTTGTCATATTCAGCGATTACAGTAGTTGCCACATAAGATGACTATGTGTTGACTATGAATAACATTGTGCATGTAACATGTTTTTATGAAAATATAAATTCAGTCCTTATTTGTTGGGGGATTAAAATCAAAATTTTAATAGATTTTGATAAAAATTGATGAAATGTGTGGTTTTAAAGTTGCGATACCCATAAAATATGTAATTAAAATAAATTGTTGACTTTTACTTAAATTTAAATTTTAATCGGTACTGAACATGGCTCAATCTACACATAAATGACGAATTAAGATGTGTAGTTAGAACACAAAGTAAAACTAAGGTTCTATCTGATTCTCAATTTTTGGGATAATAGAT